CTGAAGTTAGTACAATTTAACAAATTAATGTAATAGCCTAGTACAAGATAATATACAGTAAAATACACAATAATAATCATTTTTAAAAAAATGCAATATACAGTCGATTCTGGTTATTAGCCTGGTCAGTTAGTAGGTCATGCCACATATTAGAACAAAACATTCAAAAACAGAATCAAATCCTGTAACACAAGTATAATTTACTTCGCCTACTGACCCCAAAATGCCACTTACAAGTTAGTAGTCCTGCTGGCACAGTATTTTTCTTGGAAAAGTAAACAAAAGAGACATGAATTTGGATATTTTCGGCTTTTCCATATGTGACCTTTTCCTTTATCAGCCATCAATCATGATTAAGAAACACAAGAAACATTCTAAGAGTGCAGGCCTTGTTTTCCCCTTTCTCACTCAATTGTGTCAAATTGGCTCGATCACTCATATGGACCACATTTTTCAATAAGGTGTGTACTGCTGCCACACAAAATGACAAGACAGAAATTCTTCATTCCCTATCTCACATCCTGACCCCACTTTTATCTTTGTTGCCATTGACTGTCTGGAAGGCAGACTGAGCACTTGTCCTTTGGTCCTCCAGTGTTCGATTCAAGATGTCATGGACAGAATTGACGCTTGCTAAGAAAATTGATCTGCTAGATCAAATCAGAAGAGAACCTCCTAGCAACAGCTACCAGCAACTGGCAGAGATGATGGGTGTGTCCAGAAACACAATCTCACACTTGATAAAGCCAGGAAGACAAACTTCAAGAAGAATGAACATCTTGCAAAGGAAGCAAAGGAACAATTCAGAAACGGAAATGTGAGGGCAAAGATCTAGAAGTCGAAGATGCTCTCAATCAATAATTTGCCACTGTAACTGCAAAAGGTGTTTGTGTCAGTGGTCCAATGCTCAAATGCCAAGCAGAGGTCGCTAATGTGAGAGTAGCCAAGGTTACGGAGTAAGTAGTACTCGAGTAACACTTACAGGCACTAGTCGGTAAGACCAGCTCTCGGTTGTCCAAGAATGGCCTTTCCCTGTCGTAGGGAACGAGTGTGGAGGGCTTTACGGTTATATTATAATTTAGAGCGGAAGTTGGTGATAGCGAATTCACCTTCTTCCTTCGTCAGGTTCCCGACACCAGTTTGTCAATTTATAGAGGCGCGGACAAACACGCGATAACGATCTGATTCGGAATGAATTGAGGAGACATTCTTATATAATAAACATAAGTAAAATTTAATAAATCCAAACAACGAATACAGAAAATCAATAACAACGATTATATGACAAGTTAAAGGTTACGACTAAATCTATGCTAATGCGCGATCGAGAGAGAGCTCACAAAATGATTCTAAACATACGACCTGTTAGTTGTCGTCTTCGTTTCTGTAGATATAGGACACCTTGTAGATAGGGTTCATCTTCCTTTCGTATGGGAGATTAATTCGTGCACAAAATATAAAGATATCACTTCTTCTAAGTGTAGACTCGGGACTTAGTCTATCGGACTCCGTTATGGGCGTTGGCCATCAGGAGGAAACGTATGTGGAGTCTGGACACTTTCAAATCGGTCGGAGGACTCCCCGAATTATGACTAATTTCTCCTTTTATTTCCAAACTTCGTCCAATCATCGTATAGTAACTCTTTCGTGAGAACGGATGAGAGGGGGATGAATGAGGGGTAACCATTTCCCATCGGAGCGAGATTTTTAACCAGATATGGGAAAAACAGCGGATGTTCTCCTCGATGAAAGGAAATAACATTTGTCATCTAGTTTTTCCCACGTCTAAAACAATATTTTTCTCACCAAAACGAAGTATTATTTGGTGACATTATTTAAGCATATTTAATAAAAATTATTAAATGAGGCCTAGGGCCTTCCGGATCTCACATTACTCCCTTATCTTCAAAAATCACACTACAATTAAAGAAGGCGTGATTTTTCACTGCAATACATAAATTCGAATTTCACTCTCTCTCTCTAAAAATTGCGTTACACATAATACTGAAATCATAAAAGTATACAATATTTCAAATTAAATTCAAAATTGAAATACATGGAAATAATATAATAAACAATTCATCAGATTAATAGTATTACTAAAATAAACATAATGAACACAGGTGTCTTCGTCTTGAATTGACGGTAAAAGTGGACATAGTTCGTCACTTGTTTCGAATGCACCTCTCTGTTGCTGAGAGTCTCTATGGCAGCACACTCTGTTGGCTGACTTCTTATAGTTTCACAAATTCAAGTATATTAGAAGATCATGTGATGTCTTCTTGTTTCAAAAAAAAGCACCTGCTAAAAGTTCAAAGTTCAATGTGCAGTTCAAAATGATATAATGTGTCTTCTTCCTGTATGTTGACACACTTCCTTTTCTGCTAAAATTTCATTTAACATAACCACAAAAGTTCAGGTGGTTGAGTTCATTAAAGGTTGTATGACTCCAGGGTCATTTAAATCTATCTTGGGCAAAGTTCAATTTCACCAATGTATTTTCAAGTGAAAAGGTAGTATGTTTAACAAATACATATCTCTAATAAAGTCTCTCTCTCTCTTAATACTACTCTAAGTCTTATATCTAGACTATTCTATATAATATTATGTCTATTCAAATCTATCACTTTAGTTTATCAATTTGAGTGGGGTGTACATTCCTTTGAATAAGCTTTTTGTTATTATTAGGAAAGGTACTTACAAACTAAAAATATATGTAGCTAAAATCGATCCTTATATAATCAAAAATTTTCAATCAAGAATGAAATTATCATCTCAAAAAGCAAATTAAAATTAAAGTCGATACGGTCGAACTAAAGTCGATATGTTCGAACAAAGTGCTTCTTTGTCTGTGTTGAGCTTGAAGCTTGTTCAGTTGAGCTTCCAACAGGTTCGACTATTTCCGTTTCTTCTTCTTCTGCATTATTTCTTTGAGGAATTTCTTGAAGTGGAATGTCCTGTTGTGACAGTTCCTTGATCCTCTTCTCAAATCTTCGTTTCCAACAAATATGCTTGACTATATAATATGTGCAGATAAGTAGAATTAATATTCCTATACTTCCAAGGATAATCCATATGTATGTGATTGGAATTGTTGGAGTGTTTGATATAAAAAGATCTTCATTTTCTTTCAATAATCTATCCAAATCTTTCTTCATTTGCTCGTATGATTTTTCTGCTACCTTAATGTCATCATCTGTTTGTTTCTTAGAATTCTCTTTATTCCTCTTAGGATTTTCTGTAGTATTTATACTCTCTTGCAATTTCTCTAATTCCATCTTGGAAAATATTGTTTCAATTGGAGGTATAATAAACTTAGGACTGCTTCTTGTGTGAACAGTTGATCTCATGTGAAAATGTGAAGTGAGGATAATTCCAGGTAAGTATCCTATACATGTATTTGGCAATCTTATGATTCCAACATTATTCAATTTACTTATATTAGAAGGTAATGAATGCAAGTTATTTTGTTTAGCAGAACATTTCACTACTAATACTAATGTAGAGGGTGTAGAAAATACCCATGTTCCTTGCTTGTCTATTCTTCTAAAAATTGGATAAAATTCCTTTACAATTTCTTTGGAACAAAGTTCTGTTACCTTCTGATCATTTCCGATGTATAAAGAATATTCGCAGCTCTGATGTGGAGCTCGAAATATCGGAACGTCCGGTGAACAAACAGCAAACTGTGATATTTGGCAAACAGCCAATTCGTGATGACGTAACAACATGTACGATTGACGATCCATTGACAATGCTAAAATGGGATATTCAGTCTTAAAATATGCATAAGCTTTCAATACAGGAATATATGTAGGTAATCCCAAAATTTCGTAAGCATCGAAATATCCACTGGGAGCTTTCAATGTCATTTTCGCAAAAATTCTTAATTTTCCTGGAAGTGCGATAGCAACTGTAGTAACCCATTGGTAAAATTTAAAGAGAGTGTCAGCTTTGACTTGTTCTATCAATGAATACTCTTCCGGAAGTTGTGGTTGTATTTCTCGTAACGTACGATACATCACTTCCTTTGAGATAAAATACGAGCTTAATTTTCCTTGTTCTAAAACGTCGATAGCTTCTCTTAATTCAATTATTTGTGTGTGAAATTCTTGCATCGCAAATTCTATATTCCTCATAATAATTTCAAATGCTAAATCATATCGATATATTTTTAGTAAGTTCTCGAAGGAATCTTGTCTTCTAATGGGGCAACTCCCTTGTCTTCAAGAATGTCTATTATTCTTTTTCCTCGGATATAGCTCATGAAATAACTATATCTTTTAATTAATTATTTCACTTAGTACTATTTAACATTAATTCTAAATCAAATTCAAGGAAACCAACATTTTCGATATTTCTTTAGGAAGAACTTGATCTACTAAGGTGGGAAGTAATATTTTTCTAATTCTCTAGTTTCTCGATGGATTGCGTCATCTTCCTTTTCCTGTCCTGTATAGTTCCGCAATCTCGAATGCTTAAAAGTTCTATCGAGTTTTTCTATTTGCGTACGATTTCATTTCCTTTCTTTTTATTTTATTTCTTAGTATTACTATGATTTATTTCACTTCGTATTCCAATATAAAAATTTTCATCTAATTATTTTATCCGACTGATTTACATAGGATTTACTATCATCTTGAGAGGTAAGTTCAAGTGTTCGTAAATTCCTTATCGTTCGGTTTAATCTGCTACTAGTATTTCTTAATCAAGAAGGGAAGTAATAAGGATGATTCAACAATATATCTGCATTGATAAGCGACTTCCTATTTAANGCCTTTTTCTCTATCAACTTCAAGAGCAGAGTCTAGTTTCAACATCTACCAATGCTGTATCTATATTCTCAATCCACACTTGCATTCTATCTAAACACTCTAAAAGTACTTGTAGTTTACTATTTGAAAAAGCTTGCAATTTTAACAGAAGTCAAATTCCTTCTTCAACATTAATCTCCTTTTTGGCACTTATATAAGACAAGATCAACTGTTCCATTGACTCACCTGAGACATTTTCCTCGCTTCCAATTTGTTTTCTTACATGTCGTGGTGATCCGTCTTGCGATAGTGGCGAAAAAGTTTTCCTTTTCTGAGCCTGAAACGCTGACATTTTTCAAGAAAAAAAGCAAAAATAAGTCAAATCACTAGAGAGTAAAAATTTTCACACCAACAGCCATGAGTCAGATAGCACCCCCTAACTATTGATTAAATTAGAGTTCATTATGAAATTATGAGCTCATAAAACTGTATCTAACTTTAAGCTTTGTGATCTTAAAGGAAGGGCATATGATGATGACATTAAGCTTTATTTATTTTATTAAATAAAGCTAAAATACTGGAACCTTATTTCTTCATTTTGACAATTATATTGAAATGAGTAACATCCATGATTCCATTATAATTATTTTATTATGAAAGTGTTGCCAATTGCTTCTTCACACAGTACGGCACTGTTGGAAAGAATCTAGCAACAATAATATTTAGAACTATAAAAGTTTGTCGTCTTATCCTAACTCGGGTCGGCAACCTTTTGAGTCGGAAGAGCCAAAATTACAATTTACAAAATTTCAAATTTTTTAAAGAGCCACAAAATTTTTTCTTGCCAACAATAAATAGTACTCGTGTAAATAAAGTTTTTTGATAAAAAAACTAATCTATTTATGCATAAGAAAAAATATCTATTTATTCATATATAAGTAGTGTTTTTCACAACAAATTAGATAATAGAAACATCCGACGACGGCGTCATTCAAGAGCTTCTGAAGGACTGAAGACAGTGACGACGCGTGTCACGGGGGAGGGGTGCGGTGAAAAGAGAGTACAAGTGGCTGAGAGATAGAATCGGTGCCTAATCCTCGTTAATCGATTCAGAACGATTTTTAAATGTTTTTTTTTTTGATAAAATAAATATTTGCGTATGGAACTAAAGAGCCGCAGCTTCACATCCAAAGAGCCGCATGTGGCTCGCGAGCCGCAGTTTGCCGACCCCTGTCCTAACTCAATAGTTGAACATGATGATTTAAGGATGCTACTTATTAAATTAACAGAATTGGATGCAAAAAAATTATTCTCACTGCATCAGACCCATCCTTCACATTAATTATTTTTATATTAAGTAAAGTATTTTAAGACAATTTTGGAAAATTATTTTTTTGGCTATAAATTATAAAGTTCTTAAAATTTTATTTCAATTTATTATTTTTTACTGATTTCATATGAATGCTAATGAAATATACAGACTAAAAGAAACAGTAGTCTGAAAAAATTTGGGAAACACCGGTTTAAATGTTTATTCTGTGGTACTAGACCTGTTACCTAGTAACTGCAAATCACACTGATATCCATTACTCAATTATCATTTTATCAAAGAATAATTAGAAAACACCTATTATTTATTAATTTTAAAGAATTTTAAAACTATGTTACAAATTTTTATATTCTTTTTAATTATTGCATTAAATTATTTTCGTTTTTGTATTATTGGTTTTTTAAATTGATTTTATATTTTCCTGTCAGCTTTGATATTTTTAGAGGTGTTTATTAAAGCTCTAAGATTTTGTCTTTTTTCATAAAAATAAATCATTATAATTTATACACATATAATAACAATGAATAGTTTAAATAGTTTTGTTCATTGCTTTTGCCCTTAGTTACATTAAATTATTGTGATAACCTAATCAGTTATTTAAATTTTAGGGCTTATCACACCAATGAATATGATATTACAAAAAATTTAGCTTATTTTATATCTAAATTTACAATACAATAAAAGTTTTTACAATAATTGAATCTAAAAAATATACAATACACCCAAAATGCATTTCAAACTCTTTTGGAATCCTTTTCCAGTTGGTGTTTTTTATAAAAATAATAATAAAAAATATATGTATACATAAAAAGGTTTAAATAACCATGAAGACATCACAATTAAAGAAACTGACTACAATAGATTCTATCTTTTTTTCTATTTTCTCTATAATCAATGCAGCCATGGACAGAACTACACATAAATTAAAAATAATTAATGACAAAATTACGTTTATTATTAAGCATTAAAAAGTAATGGCAATAAGTTAAATATAAAATAAACTAAATTTTTTTGTAATATATTCACTGATGTGAAAAGCCCTAACATTTAAATAACTGGTTAGGTTATCACAATAATTTAGTTTAAATAGTGTTATATTTTATTGTTTTTTTTAAATTTAAGAATACATAAGTAAAAATATATTTAAATAATTTAAACTGAAAGTAATATAAATTTTCATGGATGATCATTATAAAAAAAATGAAAGCATTGCTCAAAAAAAATTTTTTTTTTTGCAAATTATACTAATGAGACTTTTTGATAATACAAAATATATTTCCTAAAATCTGAATAATAAATTGAAAAACAAATTAACTAGTGATTAAATTCTAGAACTGAAAAAAAAAAAAAATTCCTGTAAAAACAACTCAGATAGTCATCATACATATCTATTTTGTATTGTGTTACTTTGCATTTATTTTTTATTTTTTCGTGGAAATAGAATATATAATTTTAAAAATTTATATTAAAAATTTCTTCCTTTAAAATCTTTGTCAAAATAAATTAATTATTTATGCTTTTGTATTTATATTATTCCAAGCAGTCATCATCACTATCATTATCATATTCTACATATAATATAATCGAGCTGGGTTGATAATGATAATAATAAGCGCAGAGCCCAAATGGTTAGGAGTTGAAAGTTGAAATTTGGTACACAGTTAGGGTATGTCAAGAGAACATACACTAAGAAGGGATTTTTCGAAGTTCCTTCACCACAGAAGAGAGAGAGAGAGAGAGAGAAAGAGAGGGTTAAGGATTACTCTGAAGAATTTGGCTTCTACTGTATACTATTTTAAATGTCTTTTTTGCATTTATGCAGGAAATTGAACATATTTTTAGACCTTTCTAAGAATTCTCAACAATATTTAGTGTTCCATTGTATATAAAGTTGACATGGGGAGTGCATGCACATACATTCGCTTTATTAGAACTCTTTGTCTTAATGTTCGATTTTATGTTTGAATTTATATTTCTGAATGATTTAGGAAGATCCAGCTTATTTTTCGAATTTAGTAAACATGAAGAAGAACCCAGAAGGGGTTATGAAAATGTTTGTTATTCATCACTTAGTGGTACTATGCACTGGTTAGTGGTTGCTGTGAATCTTAATTATCGTTATCCCAGTGTGGTAAGCAGATATCTAAAAATTTTCTACTTTGTCTCGTAAGAGAGGAGACCTAATTCCTGCACTCGGTGAAAATGGGTAAGATCAGCTATAATCTAATAATCTTAATCTTTGCTATCGTTACTTTTTGTCTAAGCAACGCCAAGCTCAACTGCTAGTTTATAATAAAAGTGTATTTTTAACTTTCTGTACTACTATGCCATGAAACTTATCCTATATTGTATTTGTATAAATAAATAAAATAAGCAATAATGTATGTGTATGTGTTGTATGTATCTGTACTTGAGATTCACACAATAATAAAGTTAAGTATGTATCTATAAAAGGAAATCTGATATTTAAAAACATTAAAATTAAAAAATTAAAAGTAACCTTACTTTAATTCCATAGTATCAAATAATTTTTAAATTTCTGCTTAAGAATTTACTTATTAAGTCAAATAAATACTTAATGAAATTTCAAAATAAAAATACTCACTTTGTTCTTCTAAGTATTTATTTTGTTTCTTTAGATCATCAATATCTTGTTGATGAGCAGAGTTTTTCCTTCTCATAAACTGAATGTACTCTGCTGCTTTTTTCAATATTTGGGCTCGAGAAGCCTAGCAAAATAATAGGCACAACTAAAAACAGTTATTTAAAACTAAACTAGTTCTAATTTAAATTTAATCATCAACACAAATATTTAATATAAAAGTCAATGTTCTTCTAATTTCAATATAATTAATAAATTTAGAAAATAATGAAAGTTATATACACATCACAAATGTAAATAATTATTACATTTATTAAATATATAATTAATTATATTAATTTTTAACAATAAATAGTTAAAATCTATTTTTTTAATTGTAAACCATTCAAAATTTTCATTACCAAATATACAATTTATGACATTTTATATGTAATTAAATGCCTTATACTTTATATTTGAATCACTGGCTACTTTTTCAAAAATACTTTGGTAAAACTTCCAACAAAATTAAGAAGTTTATGCAACTACTTCAAGTAAACAAAAATTTTGATCCAATTTCAATTTAAGTTTGAAAAGAAAGAGTAAAACAAAATAAATAAAAAAATGAAATACTTACTTCTTGATTATATTCTTATTACTAATGAGTAATTTCAATAAACTTTATCAAATAGTATTTTGTATATACATCATTTTAAAAATTAAAACATTTTTATGACTACCTTATATAAATTATAAGATACAAAAAATTGTTATTATATAAAATGTAAAATAAAAGAATCAGTTTTATAGATTATTACTACTATATAGGTATGCTAAGTTCAATTATCTTCAACTATAGGCCAAAAAAGTGGATAGATCATGGCTCTCTATACTTCCATATTAATGAAAATTATAATTTATTTTTGTTGGGTGGAGCAAAAGATCAAAAAATTATAGTAAATAATTAAAAGCTCTTGAGTGCAACTGAAAGTACAGAGACATGTAGTATAGAGTTGCCACCTCTCTTGCAATTTGTTGTGTATAGAGAGGTCTCTCCCAGATTACAAAATGTAACCTGGAAGGCTCAAATCTCCCAGAATCTACCAACCAAAAGACAAAATTACTACAACTCATTCACATAAACAAAAATATAACACTCCTCATAAACCTCTGGGTGCCCAGCAACAAAATTTACAGGTTAACAAATGTTTTCAACCCCTTCCAAGCTTTAACTTGTGAGCCTGAAAATGTTTGTTTACCATGAATTTTGTCACTGGGCACCTGGAGGTTTTTGAGGTGTGTTATACAGTAAGTCCTTTGTGTTTGAACTATGCAAACAAAAAACTAAAAATCAGGATTTATATTTTTGTTAAATTTAAATGAAAAATTAGTCTACATTTTAAGAATGATTGTAATCCATTTTGTCATAATCTCCAATAGACAGTACTCTCGTAAATATAATTGTTATCCCGACAAAAATAATTTTCAAAAAATTTTTGGAAAAAAATAAAATAATTAACATCAAATTTTAATAGCAGTATGATAATATACTTTGATAACATAATGGTATGTCCAGAATTTTTGCAAGAGATTTTTCTATTTGAGAATTGTGCCCTCATTCTTCATATAAATGGTAAAAGTAAAGTAACTCAGGAGGAAATCCTTCTGACAACCAAATTAACTCTGAACATGCAATGTTATATTAGAAACAAAATACAAGTGCAAACTAAAAAGTAAATGCAATTTGTGTATAATACTAAATGTTAAAAAAGGACATTTTGTTAGTAGGTTGTACTTAGTTTGGTTCTGAAGTGGTGATATTTTTTCAAATTCACTAATGAATGTTAATACAATATGGAGAAAATTCCAAAATGATAAAATAAATATAACCCATGAAGATTATCCAGGCTATTTTCAATCTCAATACTAGTACTGTATATATTATTAATTGAGTCAATGTTCTATTTAAGAAAGCAGATAGATTGCTTTTTGTTATTTCTAGCAGATTAAATATCCTTAATTACAAAAAAAGTAATGTATTAAATGGCTTAACAAACAGCCAGGTAAAGGAAACAAGCAATTATTTATTGTGACATCGTCACAATGCCAGGCTGCAATTTTTAATATTTTTAATTTATTTCATTTAAAAAATATGCTTTCCACATCAAATTAGTAGTGGCTTGCCCCTGTACATCATATTTTTCCTGTTAGCAACAGAGTCATGCTGGTCACCTATCTAACTCCTTTCAAGTGAAATGTTTTAATTGGAAAAAAAAAAAATAATAATAATAATAATGTGACTTCTGATTTGCTTCAGAAATTTGTATATAGTTAATTGGGGGCTCCTGCTCCAAAGGTTTCCATATCTGGTCTCAAGTTTCATCTATCTAATTCTGTTCTCGAGATTAAAAAAAGATAGACGGATGGACAGATGAATGACAGTGGGAATTCATAGATCTATGATTTTTTCAAATTGCAGCCTACTGTATATGCATTTTGTAATATGCATATATAGTAGAAACTCAATTTAATGTTATCTGATTTATTGTAATTTTTCACTGGTCCTTTCAAATCTTTCTAAACCAGTGATGACATTATCACATTTAACATCTTTCAATTTTATATATTTTTGGGATTTAATGCATCAAAAACAAAATCCTTCAATAAATTTTCACCTCAAATAACATTAAAAAAAAACCCACCATATTTTATGTTTGGATGAAATATAGTACAATCAGGAGAATTATGAAAGTTCAACAAATTATTGGGATCATTGTTTCTACCATGTAGAAGTGAGAGAACACCATATTCTAGTTTTTGCAATTTGGCAACCATCACTGGATCCAAGATTGGCATAGTAAGTAATGCAATATCAACTCAATTTTCAATGTCCACTGTAGATTCCATAGTCCAGATACAGTATGATTTCTATAGACCAGATATGGTATTCCTGTNAATAAAAATTATTAAATGAGGCCTAGGGCCTTCCGGATCTCACACTAAGAAGCTGAATCACCACGATTTCAAAGCAACAGATGGTTGGTTATCTCAATGGAAATTAATGCATGAAATCAAATTTAAGAAAGCTCATGGTGAGAAGGAAAGTGCCAATGCTGCAAGTGCAGATGAATGGAAAAACACCAAATTGCTTGAACTTCTGGAGAAGTTTTCTCCAGATGACATCTACAATGCAATTGAGCCTGGAATTTATTATCATGCTATGCCAGATGGCTCGTTATGCTACAAACACGTTGCTTTATCTGGTTCCAAGAAAGCAATGGATTGCATAACTGTGTTGTGATGCTCGAACTTATCAGGTATATTATAATTTTTGGCCTGTAAAAATTGTCCAGAAGACAAAAATAATACTCTCAAGTATATATAATTTGAAACATCCTGTAAAGGCTGAATATTAAAAAAAACCATCTCTTTCTGGGTGATTATCTGCCACCTTCTTGAATATCATTACTTTTGTTTTAAAAACATTTATAGTTAATACATAGTCACAGCAAAATTACTCCAGAAATACAGTGTCATCAGCATACATTAATACATGTAACTCAACTTGATCAGAGAGAAAAATCCAGTTAAGTCAGATTTAGCAAGTTGAACTAGCAGATCATTAACATACAAATTAAAAAGTAATGGGCTCAGAATTTCACCCTGCAAAACTCAAATGTCATTACCAAATGAATCAGTCATTCTGGCTAATATCTTTACTCTTGCAGTAACTTTGGTATGTATAATTGATATATATATCAATTATAAGGCCAAGAAACTGTTTATTCATGCCCATTCTTTCCAATAGACTATAAAACTTTGTGATTAACAGTTTCAAAAGCAGATTTAAAATCTGCAAAAACAGCATACAGTTTTCCTCTCTTTTTCTGCAATTTTAATTTTATCAATGCATTTAATAAATATTTGATCCTGACACAATTGGCCAGATCAAAAACCTGCTTGCTCCTGACACAAAATATCATATTTAATAATCCAATCTTCTAAATTTTTATTTAATAAGGACAAACAGTTTACTGATTACAGGAACCAAAGATAGAGGTCAATAATTTTTGGGGTCATACACATCACCTTTTTTTATATATTGGAATAATAAAAGATTCAATCCATTTTTCTGGGAAAGTAAAATCTCTTTTAATAGCATTAAAAACTTCTAATGTCATAAAAAGAAAGTTTTCTGAAAAACACATTAAATATTTTGTTCTAATAAAATGGAATCCAGGTTTAAAATAGTTAACAGCTCCTTTTAGCTACTCCAGTGTAAAATCTGTAAACCATTCCATTTCTATTGGAAACACTTTATACACATCCATTGACAATTGTTCACCATTAATATATAAAGAATGTTCTTTGGAGAATTTAGTAGCATAAAAATTGAACCAGCTTTCCAAGGGAATTCTTGAATTATAATCTGACGGACTTTTACGCTTAAAGATATTAATTATTTTCAGGTTACATTTAAAGATATTAATTATTCAACATCATAAATTAAATTTAGAGACATTGCCACCTTTGCTATACATTCTACTAAATCATAAGATGTGAGATTTCCTCCATATTCTTGTGATAAAACATTATCTAATGTAACAGCAAATGAAGATTTAGATTCCTCTCTCCATATTGCATGTTTACCAAAAAATTGACTATTAGAAACTTTGGATGAAATCAGTGAAGTTGTTAAAAGAACAGGTGAGTGGTCTGAGCTTATCTCTGATAAAACACAGAAATCATTTATAACACAAGAGTATATTTCTTGTGACACTATTACAAAATCAATTACACTGGCTCCCTTGATTGCATGGGAAGTAAAATTACCTTCTTTATATCCTGTCAATAAACCATTTAGACAAACTAAACTATTATCCTCACAAAAATGATAGAGAATTTTTCCTCTGTTATTAACTGTAGAAACGTTCAAAACTGAAAGCAATTTGTCAATCACTGGTAAAACATGACAAATAATCAGGATGTCCCATTGTAGTGTTAAAATCTAAACATAAAATCAAGTTAGTTCAATGTAGCAAGTAATCTTCTATAATCAACAAAGTATTTTTGAAATTATTGTCATAAGTACTGTTGGGCAGAATATAGGACACTATTAGCTTGTAGTGTTCCGACACTTATTGGTTG